CTGCAGGGATCAGCCCATTAAAAACACAGTGACCGTCCAAATCTCAGCATATAAAGTGCAGTTAGTGATAATGTCACGCTCACTCTGCCTGCTGCCAGCTGTGGGCAAACACATTTAGATTCATGCTGTGAGATGAGTTCTGAAGGCCTGAGAATCAGATTGATTAGCTCATTTAAAATGAGCCGAATCGACTCCTGAGAGGAAACGGGGCCTGCGATCCTGCCGCGCGATCCTGCCGCGCTCTGCGCTTTAATCACACCTTCAGACTGTGAGGTAAAACCTACTGCAGTGCTTCACTTTCTGCCTGTCGGTGTCACAGATTTGCTTCTATTTGTGTCATCTAAAACCTGCCAACACCTCGTTGCACAGACTCAGTCTCATCTCTGTACCAGCATCAGTGCTGGAGGTCTCTATAACCTGCAAATAATCAGCACCGCCCTTCCTGTGTCTGTTTCTTCACAGGACAACTGTGAGCACTAACTGTCCTTTATAATAGTAATTCAAACTAAAAGCAAAGTGCCATTGTTATAAACTCCAGTCAGAAATATTAGTGACAGCTCTGGAGTCACACCAGTTTAATTCACGGACTCACAGGGAGTAAAAGCAGCCTTCACAAATCAATATGTATTAAATACTTTGGACTTTTAGATCAATAAAATTCTGAGGTGTGTTTTCAACAGCGGCTTTAGCAGGCGAGAACATTTATCACACAGTAAGCACAAAAGTTGAAGCATTGGAATATTTGTAAGGTGGTTCTTGAGACCACTCTTTGTGTTCTGAGCTAAATTGGGGGCTCATCCGAGATTTGTGCATCCTATAACCTTTGCTTGTTCAATGCTGCTGCTTTTAGGTGAAGTGTCGATGTATTTTGGTTTGATGACTTATTAGCTGCAGCGGGAGTTTAAATATAAAAGGTTTTCATTGGCTAATCAGTTTATTAAAGTATAATTACGGATGAGGGTGGAAGTCCTCAATCTAAGCAAGTGTAGTAAATTTGAAGAGGGGCAGAGGGAGCAGGCCTCTCAGGTACAGCCTGATGCGGCGCTAGAGACTCAGCTTCCTTTGCACACCTGCCCTTCACCGATTAATTGATCAGCTCCCACTCCAAGTCGCTGATCAGCCTGTAATTGAGCTTCCGGTAGTTTTTGGGGTGAATCTGTCGCTGCCGCCACACCTCCTCATACAGGCTGCGTATGACCGTAGGCAGCAGTGGGAAGCCAGCGGTGCGAGCCAGTGTGTTGCAGTACTCCCACTGATCCTGGTCCAAGATCAGCAGGTGGCGATGCTGGACTCCCCGCTCCAGCTTCTCCTGCAGCTCCCGCTGGACCTCCTCCTCCATCTGAACTCGAGAGGGTAACGTGACCGAGCCCTCCAACACGGCCAGGGCGAACTGGACCTGCAGCGATAGAAGACAAACGAACCTAACAACCGAAGCTACCTAACAAACGGCATTCAAACCAGAGTAAGTCCACTCTGCTTCTTAGAAAGTCGACACTGGGACTGCTGCAGTGGAGAACAGTGGGTATGATGGTACACTGCCGCTCACCTGGCAGTTGAAGTTGGGGAAGGGGCAGATGATCTTGCAGATGCCGATGAAAAAGAGCGAGGGGAAAGCGGGTGGCACCAGAAAGCGGTACAGAGGTGACATCATCTGGTCCTGGATGTCCAGACGGAGCAGATTTCTGGGACGGCCCTCCGCCAGCTCAGCAGATTACGGAAACCTGAAAGCTTATACCGTGAGAACATCAGGCACGGAAAATCACTGCCGCACGATCACATGAGCAGTCGTGTCAGAGTGACAATCACGTGGAAATATATCGCACCATACAGGAGCTCTGTTGCTATAATGACCCAGTGGCTGCGAGAAATTTCGGCCAACCTTGATTGCTCCACTTTTTCACATTGCCAATTTAGTAACATCGTCCAAACATCAGCATTTTACCGTCCCTCGGCTAATCTCAGGCAGCTGTGCTAACGACACCGAAATACACAGTAAGTACGAGTGACCCACACAAGGAGATGGCCGTCAGACTCTGAAAATCTTTATACATAGATACTCCAACAGGTTTTTTAAAATAATAGTCGCTGTCCAAAGCTGGGTCCTGTTATTGGCTATTCCCTGAACTTTCACTTTCCCTTTGTGTCACTCGAACCGTACGCAGTCAGTGACATTAACTGTTTTGGCCCCTCCATGAAGAACAGCCTGAAGACAAATAGAGCCCCCCAGTGTGTAGCATCTAATAGCACAGTGGACACGAGAACCTAACAATCGACATGATTCGCATCTGTGTACAACATAAGCAGCTGTGGGAAATCTGAGAGGGGTATGGTCTAACAGGAGTGGAGGTCCTTAGGTTTGATGCTGGCATAACAGAGTCAGTTTTGATATCATGAAGAACAGCTGGCATGAAGCACTTACACCAAGAGTGCAATTATCTTCGTTTTAATCCTAGTCACAGAACAATGGGTGGCAAAGCGAACCGGGGAGGCACTTTTGTTAATGGTATCGTTCATTGAGAATATTTTGAGTCAATTATGCCATACGCAAGAACAAATAAAAGGACATCAGGACTAATCAGCAAAGGAGGTAATTAGAATAACGCTACTAAAAGATTCCCAACTTGAACATCCCACGGAGCACTGTTCAAGCCATCATTCAGAAATGGAAGGAGTATGGCACAACTGTAAACCTACCAAGACAAGGCCGTCCACCTAAACTCACAGGCCGAACAAGGAGAGCGCTGATCAGAAATGCAGCCAAGAGGCCCATGGTGACTCTGGACGAGCTGCAGAGATCTACAGCTCAGGTGGGGGAATCTGTCCATAGGACAACTATTAGTGGTGCACTGCACAAAGTTGGCCTTTATGGAAGAGTGGCAAGAAGAAAGCCATTGTTAACAGAAAACCAGAAGAAGTCCCGTTTGCAGTTTGCCACAAGCCATGTGGGGACACAGCAAACATGTGGAAGAAGCTGCTCTGGTCAGATGAGACCAAAATGCAAAACGCTATGTGTGGAAAACTAACACTGCACATCACTCTGAACACACATCCCCACTGTCAGATATGGTGGTGGCAGCATCATGCTCTGGGGGGGCTTCTCTTCAGCAGGGACAGGGAAGCTGGTCAGAGTTGATGGGAAGATGGATGGAGCCAAATACAGGACAAGTCTTGGAAGAAAACCTCTTGGAGTCTGCAAAAGACTTGAGACTGGGGCGGAGCTTCACCTTCCAGCAGGACAACGACCCTAAACATAAAGCCAGGGCAACAATGGGATGGTTTAAAACAAAACATATCCATGTGTTAGAACGGCCCAGTCAAAGTCCAGATCTAAATCCAATCCAGAATCTGTGGCAAGATCTGAAAACTGCTGTTCACAAACGCTGTCCATCTAATCTGACTGAGCTGGGGGGCCGAATACTTTCGCAAGCCACTGTATCAGGTGGACTCCTGCAGTGGAGGATTAATACAGTTGAGGTCAGTCACCTGGAAGCGAATTCTGCCGTCGTCCTCGACGGCCTCTACTGAGCTGGACTGTTGAATCCCATCAGGCAGAGGGAAGGTGATCCGAGGGCGGCGGTGACTCAGAGTCACCTGTGAGATGAAGAAAGAAAAACACGCCGTGAGTCTAAAGCTCCGTCACACGCTTTCTGCACTCGCTGCTCGTCCCAGGCTGCAGTTATTCAGCGTAACCTGCTGTTAACTTCTTTAAAGACACAATTATACGTCTTTGCTCTCGCTCCTCTTCCTCCTGCTCTCTAACCAGAGGCTTCCTGTGGCTTTGTCAAACAGTTAATACAAATGTAGGAACATGCACCCTGTCTATCACCTGGCACCTTCCTCCCATCAGAGGAGGAACCCACTGGTGCCCAGCTCGTCAGGCATTCTGGTAGGTCAACTAAAATATGCAAGAAATAAAGATAATAATAATAAAAATAATACATCTGCATGCAGATGTTAGTTGTTACCTGGGCACCCACATTGGCCAACTCGAGGGAAATATCCAGACCTGATGCTTTGGCTCCCAGAACGACCACCGACTGACCCGCAAACGGCTCCGCGAATCGATACGAGTGACTGTGGAGCACTTTCCCTGCACACAGAGAGGCACACTGGTTCTAGAATGGATCACTGGGAGGGATGCTCTGTGCAGCGGTGACAGCTGTTCCAGAGTAGGCGGGGTAAAAGTTGTCCCACAAGGCTGGCCGACATGATAGACGATGGGCAGGGCTGTGAATCCTCAAGACTGTGTTTATTGAACGCAGTATGGAGAAGAACAACGAGAATTAAGAGACCTGGTGACCAGTGATGGACGTTAGACCAGCTGTAAAACTGGAGGCAGTTTGTTCGCACTAACCACAACAACTACCATCTTCATCTGATGCGGCCCCCCTGGCGCCAGCTGGATGCTCAAGGCAAAAGCTGACGGGAATAACACAACTCTCCGTTAGATAACAAAACGGCTGTTGTGACTCCTCATTCACGGTCACCGGCGCCGACCGAAGATTGCTGACTTTTGCCTAACCGGGTGAAGGGACACTTTCTCTCCGCTGAACATGGAACACACACGCATGTACACTGATGCAGACCTACACTCACCTCCACCCCCTCCAAACGCCTTCGAAGCTTATGTCTTTATGTTGTGAGATGTGCTGATTCGTGTGTTGAGGTGTTTTTTTCTGTTCTCAAACTGATCTCCCTGTTGGAGCTCAGTCTGGGAGGAGTTCTTTTCTTCTCCTCGTCTTTCCTCATGTTGTGCATTTTCCATGGTTTCGGTTCGGGTGGCTGCTCGACCGGCCAGAGCTACCTAGCCTGACCGGTCTCCCCAATGTGATGTTTGTGCATTGTATGTACGGTCGGCAGGGTGTCTGTCTTAATTGCCCCTTGGGGATAAATAAAGTCTCTCTGACTGACTTGGCTGAGCTGCCTGTTGAGCTTTCATTCAAACTTCTTTGGTGTCCAGAAGCCTCTGAAACCTCTGATTTTACCAACTGACTGAAACACGAAGGTTTCCCGGAGGTGTCTGAACACACCCCGAGGTACGCTTTGTGGGGATTCAGCACAAAATGAGAACAATGCTGGTGTGTCTAACCAGCCGCACGAACATTCCTGAAGCTCACACCGATGCGGCTCAGTTTGAAGTGTCACGATCTGCTGTGAACTCGCAAAACTGTCCACACCTTCAGTGTGCAGCAGACAGAAAGGAGAGGACTGAGCTCTGAGCGCAGTCCTTCTGCTGATCCAATCTAGCACCAGCGAACCTCGATTTACTAAACTGACACAGATTAATGCTAATCACGACTGAGTGTTTACAGATGTTACTGAGGCTTAAACACAAGAATAAACCTGATGAAGTCATCAGCAGTTCACTGCATTCATTCAGTGTCCTCAGAAAAACAAATTTCTATCATGTCAGGAACTTTTCATTAAAATACTTGCTTGTTGTAAAAGCTTTGTTTTTTTTATGAAGGCATAAATGTTTGTTTTACCTTTAAAGTTCTCGATGCCTGGTATGAGTGGGATGTGAGGGTCTGAGTAGTGCCTTTAAAACAGACGAGAATAAGAGTCAAAATAATAAGAGCCGCTGAAGCAGGTGAACTCAGAGCTTTGGCACCCTCAAGTGGCAGCAGGGGGCAGAGGCTTTTATTCTGAAGTAAAGCCTACAGAGTCATTTCAAAGTAAAATGCTCACCTTCAAATTAAGAGCTTTAATACACACTTTGTAACTTTCTGCTTTTGGATAAAATCTTTTTCTTTCTCCAAAACACAAAATCTTAGACTTCACAAGATTCACACTTTTATTTGTAAATGTCAACATTTAAAGACTTTTAAAAAAAGACATCGTATTAAAGTTCCACTCTGGAATAATTGGTGAATGCAAATATGTTGAATCGCAGCCACACGCTGACCAGGTGTTACGGATCATTAGCCAATGAGATGCTGTAGTTTAACCTTTGATTTAATAAAACTTTAAACTACGTCTGAGACCATCAACTCATGGGCGAAGTGTTGGTCACAGAACCAGATTCATAAGTTTCTGCACTATTACTTTTATTTGCCATCGCCCCCTGCTGGTCATTAGACAGAACGCAGTGTGTGATCTCACCCCGAGCAGACGAAGACAGAGTCAAACGTCTCAGTTTTCTGATGACCTGAAGAATCAGATGATGTCACTTCCCACGCCGTCCTCTCCTCCACCTCGCCCTCTGTCGTTACATTGACGGGCTTCACGCTTTCCACGACAGTGTTGAACTGACAAAAAGAGTCACAGTGAGGAGTGAAAGTGGCGCCGCGGGAGGTTTACTTTTGTATTGTTTCATATTTGAGACAAATCACATCTCTTAGAAAATTCAAGGCGAGCAGATTTTTATTGACGGAGCTGAAATCGTCTCCAAGTCTCTGATGATCCTGGGGTCCACACCTGTGGCAGGTACTCAGGTGTTGGCTTTATACTAGAGAGCAGTTTAGTCATATTAGAAACTCCATCAGTGACGAAGCATCAGGCTGTTCCTGGATGCAGCGATGTTTCCTTATGTTTAACACCCTGCTGCAGCCAATCAGATCACTGTCACGGCTTCATAAACCAGAACTAAAAAAACTCAGGACAACAAACCACAATCACACTTTCTGAAAAATAACCAGCCACGTAACATTAACCAGGTCAGGACTACTATTGGATGGATGGACTTTGTGTTTAGTGCTGTGACGTAGTGTTTGTGTAACTGCTGGATCTTTATTTGTGTTTTATGGTTTATTTAATACAGCGTGTGCCTGCAGAGGGAAGATAAATGAGATGATGAATAAAGAAAAAGGAAATGAAAACTTTGTTTTGAGTTTGAGTTCGGTGTGTCACACCAGGCTTTATGAACAGCTTTCATTAAGCCTGAGGAAGCAACACCGCTGGTACATTTTCATGTACAAAGCATGCTGGGTAATCGCCTTGATTATCTTTATTGCCTATGAACAGCTGTTAGGATTGTCGCTCGTGTTTCTGGTACCAGGAGTTAGAACAGAAAGTTCAAACGAACGAAAGCTGCTTTTATCCAGCTGGGAAACTTGAAACCTCAGATCTTCTACTGCAGAGTGCATCTGTGATCCTGATCAGGTCTCTGTTGAACCAGATTTTACTCTCTTGGTTAAATACAAGAAGCAGTCGAGCTGGTTGGAGCCTCGCTTCAGACTGTGGCTCGGAGTTAACATCTCCATGGTCACGGCTGTGGTCTTTCCCACAAACTCCACACTCTTACTTTTTACAGATGCAGACATTTTTCAATTTTCAATCCAATCAATGTTATTTAAAACAACAGCTGCCTCCAGGCGCTTTATACTGTAAAGACTCTACAATAAAACAAAGAAAGGAATAAAACATTACTGAGTCGATATTTTCCTTTCTGCACTCGAAGGGCATTAAATACAAAATGCTGCCATCGATAAAGATTTGAACTGAATCGTAAAGTCTACACGTATCACAAAGCAGCCACCTGCACCCTTCACTACATGACATCACAGACTGTGTTATGAGAGCCAGCAGGTTAAATCTGACTCAGAAGAATCCCGGGCGACTCACCCGGATGTGAGGCCGGATGCCGTGGCTCTGGCAGTACCTCTCCAGGTACCTCTGGACCTCCTGATGGGGCAGGAAGCTGCTAAGCTGGGGTTCAAAGGGGAAGTCCGGGAACATCATCACCTCCTTGGGCAGGTTGGTCCTGTCGGAATATCAGAAAACATTAACTGCGAGCACAGAAAGGAAACTTCACTGCAGCTCAGCCTTTCTCTCATGTTCATGTCAATGTAGGAGACTGCAGAGAGAACGAGCCCACGGGAAAGGACCAGAAACAACTGTGACTTTAGGCTTTAGTCGAGTCAGGACTGAAGCGTTAAGGATGACTTTACAACATAAATTATGCAAAGCTGCTCTCGTGAAACGTGGAGCCGGCCCTCGCAGCGAGCCCATCGATGGTGTGCAGACAGGTGAGCCTACCTGAGGTCTCTGTACATGCTGCTGTGCACCGGCAGCCCGTTATCAAGCTTTCCAACACGTTCGTCGTAACACCAGGTGCCGCCTACGTTTTCAGAGAGCTCGAACACCACCGGAGGAGCGAAGCGGCCTGAACGGGACAGGATGTGCCTGGCCGCGCAGAGTCCGGCTGCTCCGGCACCGACCACCGCCACCCGCTGCAACATCAGGTCTGTGCTGGTGGCTCCACCTGAACTGAGCACGGAGACACAAACGCTCGAGATGAGGTCTGGTTATCACAGTGAGTAAACAGCTAATAATGAGCGTGCATGCTGTATGAATACAGTACGTGCTGATCTGCTCCACCTCATTTCCTGTTGTAAATCTATGTTCCAGTGCTACGTGCTCACATCAAACACAGCACACAGACGGATAACTAGGTGATAACTGATTAATGTGAAATATTTCCGAGCAGCAAAATGATCATTTTGCTGGTTTTGGCTTTGCTCTGCAGAAGAAGCTCCGCCCACCTGCTGATTAAATGTTCTGTTTATGAGGGGCAGCCAATCAGAAGAAAACTGGCATAAAGAGGCAGGAGTTGAAACTAGCGGAACTGAAGCTCTGATTATTTTGAACCCTGTTAGAGTCAAAGAATAAAAGGTATGTGAGTCTAAAGGTCACAGGTGACGCTGTGACTCTAATTTACAGTTTAACCCAGCCTGGACTTGGACCTGCAGGCTGCCACTTTACAGTCCGAGCCATTAGCTCCGCTCCTCCACACTTCACAGATGAGCAAATATGAACAACTCCCTTATCAGAATGCTAACAAGCTAACTCAGCCACAGTTTCATAAATCACGTTTATTCAACCCCATATTGCAAACTGCGCATGCCCACACCAGGCGACCACAAACTTTTTAAGTCTACCTGTCAGTGCAGATCGCTCCGTTGCTACATTAAAGTCGGCACTTTTAAACAAAACACCCCGATTAATCAGTGATGATGAAGAAACAAGGAGTTACCGTCGTCCCGCTCAACCGTTTCCCGTCCCGGTGTCCGCGGAAATCAGCGAAAACATCGCTTAAACGTTAGCTAACTGAACCGCTGGGCGTCCATCCAGGTACCGAGGCACGACTCACGTCTCAACACCGCTCGGTTACCGCACAACGGCCCTGGTGTTACGGAGAAAACGGTCCCGTGTCTTCCGCTAACGTAATCAAAAGACTTCCGGAGTCCTTCAGAATAAAAGCAGATAAGGACGTTTAGCGCCAGAAAACGGCAAAAACAATATTTTATTTTATTCTATTTTCAATACATTTTAGCTTCATTTAGTTTCCTGGGTGGATTTACTTTACTCAGATGTATTATTATGATTTTGTATCCTCTGTTACATTTTATTGCTGGTATTATTTTATTTATCTATCGAACTATTTGTGTATTTATTTTAGCTGAACAGTCCTCCGATCAACGCTTCCTGTTTTTAAATAAACGGACTTTATTATTTTGAAAAAATAGTTCGATGATAGTTTAGGTTTTAGTGTATTAACCATCCTATTACGGCTGCTTGTCGTGTCAGTATTTAACAAAAATGACTTAAACTACATGTCCGGGTTTCTTTTGAAGTTAATTTTATAATAAAATGTTTGTTAGCTGTATCAGTCAGCTGACCTCTGAGAATGGTGTTTGCACTCCTCACTGCACGTTCAGTCCTCGGTCCTTCATCCGTTTTGGTTCCCGCTGCTTTAGATGTCCTGTCATAAACACGCGCTTACACTCTTACAGGTGAGAGCAGCAGGTAACAACGCACCGTCAGTCAATAAACAGAGGGTCCAGGAGGGCTCTCTGTCTGTGTTTGTGCTCAAGGCTCTGCAGCCAGGGATGCTTTGTCTTGTTGCTCTGCTCTTTTCCACCGGATCTGTTTTCGGGATCTAAATCTAACGGGATCTAAAAATAGAAAAGAAATATTGAGTTTCCTCTTTAAATGCACATCATGAGCCACCCTCACTGAATCACTGTTTAATGCTCTGCTGTAGAAGTGACGATGGAGGGAAACTTTGCTCTGACAGAAAAGAGAAAAGCTCTTTGTGATGAAGTGAGATCTTGTTCATGTGACCTGCATCAGAGCACCTCCTCTAAGAGTCTCCTCCCACCTTTCCCTCACGTCAGGATATTTCAGGTGAAGGAAAAGTGGTTAGGAAAAGGAGGTAGGTCATTGTTGTTATTGAGCCGACTAACTCAGAGAAAGCCTGCATAACTTTATTGGTTTAATCAACACGCAAACAGAAACAAACTCTTCACATTTCAAACATTTTATTAGAACAAAGGATGAAAACAGGCCGAGCCACTCCCCTCTCCCGGAACACTTTAGTCACACTCGGGTGATCGCCGCAGATAAAAGCACGCCCCCATCAGGCAGGAGCTCGCTCTGCAGCTGCGCAGCAGGACTTTAAATGAAAACCTCTGCTGCCGTTTTGTTTTCAGTCTGTTCCTGCTGAGACCATAGGACTGACAAGTTCCAGGAAATAGTCACATCCATAAATCCAGGAGAAATTTTAGCTTGAAAGCTTGATGCTTCCCATCAGCTGATCAGCTCCCACCTCAGTTCCTCCCCCACGGTCTTTAATGTTCACGTGAATGGAGAAATAACCTCGGTATCCCAGCAGCACTCCAACTCCGTCGTCATTTTGCGGCAGCATTGCCGTGCGGCGGGGCCGTCTGTGGCTGCGCCTGCGTTTGCTCAGCGAGCGCCTGCTGCAGCCGCATGCGTTTTCGTGAGTAGTGCTGCCAGTGCAGCAGCTGCTGCTCGTCGATGAACTTGGCGCACTGAGCGTTCACCAGCTCCTTCCTGAAGTGCTCGTACTGCAGCAGCTCCAGCATGTGCAGGCAGTGGGGGTACCTGCAGGGGGCGGAGTCACAGAGCAGAGGTCAGCTGACAGAAGGGTTTACAAACATCACAACTTTATCCTCAAAGAGAAAATCATCTAAACTGAGGATCAAACACGTCGCCGTACTTGAGGAACTTGGCATACTCAGGCTCCTTCCAGTACAGCAGGTACTTCAGGTAGTTGATGAAGGGTCTGTCCCTCAGGATGCCTCTCTGAGCCAGAACTGGAAACAAACACACAAAACCTACGTTAAACTCTGGCAAATGTGAAGCTGCGAGTTTCTGATCACAGAGTCACTCACAGTTCAGGTAGTTGGGATTCGCCAAACATTGGACGAACTCGAGCTCCAACTGGAAACGGTTCCTGGCCTGCTCGTCTGCACCGGGAAGCACACGAGTTAATCAGCAACACGACATTCAAACCCACAGCACAGATTATCCTGAGATCATCAGGAGCACATGCTTTTAACTTCTATTATTTAATTACAGTAAATCTAAACATCAATAATGTCTCGAAGGATTCAATCCACACTACACACACGCCAACGTAACACACCCACGAGAACGCATGTTTTTATACCAGACTCCATTAGAAAAAAAGAAATTTAGAGGCACATTGTTTTAATTCAACCTGAAAACTTTAAACAGGCAGCTCGGAAATTAAATTTAATATAAGGATGAATTATTGAGAGCCGAATTAAAGAGCGAGTCTCGGAGTACTGTCTTCAGCGTCCATGCCAGGTCATCGTCAAACACACTCACGTTAGCTGATAAATCAGGTTTGTTGTCAATCAGAATAATTTCTTGGGACGTTGTGATCAGGACAGAAAAGGCCGACACTCTGCAGCCTGACTTAAAGCTAATCATGAGTGTACCAACGTCTTTAACAACACATTCAATTACATTTAAAAACAACCAGAACCTTTACTCCCTTTAACTCCCTTAAATAAAACTCGTAATCCCAGCGCCGCCAGACTCCATTCAATTTAACGCCGCTTTGTCTGTTTGCGGAATGCTTCGTAGTCAAAGTAGAAAAACAAGACGGAGCACATGTAAATACCATCAGCTGCTCACAGACACGCTTTTAAAGCCAACAAAGTAAAACTTACGGATTTATTTATGGCGTTTTGTCTTACAGGAAATATTAGCCTAGCAGATTAGCATTGACCAAACAATCTGCTACAAACCTGTTTCCATGGCTACAGCCTGAAGGCAGCAGTATGTAGATGAAGGACTTAAATGTCAGATAAACTGTATAAAAACTTAAGAAGCACAAATAAGAACAGAAAGCCGGGTTTTTCCCTTTTCAGGTTTAATCGCCGCGACAGCCGCCATCAAACGTGTGCAGACTAAAACGTAAAACGTTAAACTTCCGCCTTCGCGACATCCACGTCGCTTTACGCTGCCTGCTGTTCGTTGTTTGGCCTCAAGAGGGAGGCAACAGCAGGCAAAAGATAAGCGCCTTCAGGCTCCCACAGATATGGAACGCCAGGACTGACATAATGAATTAATAAATACACCATTAAATAATTAATTAAATGTGGCAATAATTAATTAAATAAATATTTACAACTCATTTAATTAAATAATTATTGGCACATTTAATAATTATTGACATATTTAATTAATCCATCCATCCATCCATTCGCTTCCGCTTATCCTTTTCAGGGTCGCGGGGGGCGCTGGAGCCTATCCCAGCTGTCATAGGGCGAGAGGCGGGGTACACCCTGGACAGGTCGCCAGTCTGTCGCAGGGCCAACACACAGGGACAGTTTTTGTGTCTGTAGGGCTGTTTGATGACGGTTTGGACTCTGGGAGATGAGGACACACCCACATCTGTTCCATACTGCAGCCATTGATGGTGTTACAGCTCTGAGGCAGCTTTGGGGCATCAGACGCACACACTGGAAAACCAGCACCTGGACTTCATGCAGGAGAGACGGCCTCAGTGATTTAGGTTCATAAGCGAGTTCAAACACTTCTGGCCTCTTATCACTTAGATTTCTTAATCTTAACAGTGAATGCATTTAAAGCAGGAACTGCACACCTAGCTGTCAGAAGTTTGGCAGCATGAGTACTGTAAAGTTTTGTAGGGTCCTTGTTAAAAATTCCACAAGCACCACGTTTGTCATATAAAGTTCCATTTTTTACAGTACATTGTTGAAATTATAAACTATATATTCTAGTTATCCACTTGTCAGTAATCTTTGAGCAAATGGATGTCAGTGATAAATCAGTGGTGATTCACCTGCAAGTGTTTTTAACAAACTTTGTTTTTTGTAGAATTCATCGGCAGCTGTGGAGAGATGCATTTGAATATCTTCTGGTTCCACTTTTCCTAACCTGGAAGCTGAGGATGGCTGATTGCTGAC